CAAGATTCCCAAGGAAATGGATTGGCACAGGAACTACTACAGTAAACTCAACCATAGTAATGATTGTGAGGATGTATAGAACCAGTGTTTCCTTCTATTGTGCATAGGGTTGTTATGAGTAGCAACTATCTCTGACTCAACAGCATCTAACTGAACCAGAGGAAATTGGTTGATGTTCAGCCATTTCAATAAGTAGTATTTAATCAAGAACACATGGAAGAAGCATAAGCTACACTGAAGGCATTAGTGAAAAACAAGGATCCAGAAACCCACAGAATAAAAACTGAAATGTTTCAATAAACTGATGCAACACTGTAAGGCATTCATTCATCTGTGCCAAGAAACTTAAAGAAAGCTACTTCGCCAATTGGATGTAACAAACCTGTATTAGGCTCATTCCATATAAAGGTGACCCAACAAAATGTGGAAATCATCAAACAATACCATTAGCAACACATGAGAGTAAATTTTTGCTGAAGACAATTAAAAAATGGTTGCAACAGGTACATTGACAGAGAGCTGCCAGAAATTAAAGCCGGATTCAGAAGAGGACATGAACAAACGATAGCAAAGGTGATGTCAGATGGATTTTGACTAAAAGGAGATAATACCAGAAAGAAGTTCTTTCATGCACTTTGTAGACTACTTGATTGTTTGGATCTTAACTAACTATGGATAACATTAGAAAGAATGGGAATTCCAGAATATTTCATTATGTTTATGAGGAACCTATACAGAGAACAAGAGGAATTCCTTAGGACAAGGGGCTACTGAAAGGTTCAAAATTACAAAAGGTGTGCACCAGGTTTGTGTCCTTTCTGCCTTACTTAATTAATCTGTATGTTGAGCAACTATTCTGAGAAGCTGAATTATATGAAGAAGAATGTGGCATCAGAATTGGAGGCAGACTCATTAACAACCTGAGATAAGCAGATGATGTAACTTTGCTGGAAGCAAAGAAGGCTGAAAATATTTACAGGTGCAGAACAAAGATTATAGCTCTCATTATTGATTGCACCTCAATATAAAGAAATCAAAAATCTTCAGAAGCGTACCAATAAATAACATAATGAGAAACAAAGAAAAGATTGAAGTTGTTAAAGACTTCATTTTGTTGGGATCCATAATCAATGCTTAAGGTAACAGAAGTTAAGACATTAAACATATTGCATAAGAGAAATCTGCTGCAAAAGATGTTTTTCAGTGTGAAAGAGCAAACATTTCACTATGAGGAAGAAGGTGTGCCTGGCCTAGGCCATGGTATTTTCAGTAGCCTTATATGCATGTGAAAGTTGGACAATGAGTAAGGAAGACAGTAGAAGAATTAATGCATTTGAATTATGGTGTTGGCAAAGAATATTGAAAGTACTATGTATAGCCAGAAGAACAAACTAATCTGTCTTAGAAGTACAGTAAGAATGATTC